AAAAAAAGGGGGGGGGGGCTGGGTAGTCCAGTGGTACAACATCCTTGGGTTAGATTCCCAGTACAAAAAAAAAAAAAAAAAACAACCCTATAATGCCTACAATGCTAGGCAAGCTTGTGCTGATGTTTTGATTTACCCAGTTACCCCAAAATAAGGCCTTCTGATAAATCAGCCACAGTGAACATCTGGATAGCTTTTCCCTAAAAGTTCCCTTTAGAGACAATTCTGGTACAGACAGGGCCAAAGGGTGTGAATATATAACATTTACACATAGCAACTTAGTGAGACTCTCTTAAAAAACAGGTATGTGGCTCAATGTTTAAGTGTCCCCGAGTTCAATCCCAGGTACCCAAAACCCAAAACACTTGTGTCTTTGCTTATGTATTAAAGAGCACAGTTGTAGAAGTAGCAAATTTCAGTTTAGGCAATCTAAGCTCTCACCCCTGTCCCTCAACCCCTTAATATATCTCTGAAACTGAATTATTTTTCTTTTTGAGATAAGGTCTTGCTCTGTTACCTAGGTTAATCTCACTCCTGGGTTTAAGTGATCTTCCAGCCTCAGCCCTTAGACTATAGGATCATGCCACCATGCCCAGCTGAAGTTGAATTTCTCTTCTATAAGTTGATGTTATTTCCTGCCTTAATCTCAAAACTTTGCAGAACAGCCAAGGATCAAACAGGTCAGTGGATGAAAGTTATATGAAGGCTCAAGGACCTGAACAAGTGCAGGTATGTCACAAAAGGAGAGTAGGACTTCTAGCTACTAAGGAGGCTGAGGTGGGAAGATGACAAATTCAAGATCAGTCTAGGCACTCAGCAAGACCCTGTCTCAAAAAGGGCTGGTGATGAGTGCTTGCCTATTATACCCCAGATTCCATCCCCATTGCTGCAAAGACATGARAACCAAAACCCAGAAAAGCACCTGTTTGCCTCCTATGGAGCTTTTCTGGGAAGAATTTCAAGCCCTTTAGTGACACTATTCAAATCACCACACAGAATACACACCCTACCACAGACTGGGCAATGTGATACCCASTGCATGAACCAAAGCCAAGCATCATTTTTATATGTGTGGCGCTGGGGATCGAACCCAGGGCCTTGTGCATGAGAGGAAAGCACTCTACCAACTGAGCTGTATCCCTAGCCCAAGCATCTTTTGAAAATCAAGGGAAAATGGGGAAAACACCTCTAGCACCATTTGGTGGGCCTCACCTGTAGAGGCTGTATGGCAGGGTGAGGGCTGCGGACACTAGAGGCATACTTATATGGTGCTACAGCCCGAGGAGCAGCAGCAGCAACTGCAGCACGTGGTGCAAGGTTTGGCACAGCTGTGGGAACACCTGTGGAAAGGACAATTACAATTAAAGCCCATCAGTCTGGTCAAAGACCCGTCAAAATCCCATCGTTCCCCCTTCTGTGTGCATCCAATACCACCTCCAGACTGGCAGCTGTCAGTCAGCCCTTGCTGGGCGGCACCAGCCCCACCAAAGTCCATAGCCAAGCGGTCCGGGCACTCAGACCCTACAACAGACCAGCAAATGCACATCAGTGTTGGCAGCAGATGTCCAACTGGCCACGTCCCACGGAAGGAGAAATTCCAAAGCATGATCACACGACACATCACACATGGGGGCCACTACTGCTACTTTCAGGGTTGAGCCAAAGAATAACATACAATTCTGTCCACCTTTTGTAATGCAGGACTTACTCTGACAAAGTTTCATTGTCCCCCCACCCTACTCTACCAAAAAACAGAGGCTGTCTCTAGTCATCCAGCTAGCAAACTTCTAAAATTAATCTTCTCATGAGTACCAATCAGTAAAGAATGTTAAATGTAACCAGCAAACCTAGAACTCACATCAGTTCTGTTCCTGAATCAAGTACCTACCTAAGCACACAACTAAGATGACAGAACCAGGACTCAAAAAAACTTGAGCCCAACAAACTGACCAAGTGAAGGAAGAGCTAGCCATCCTGACTCCCTCCTCCCCAGGCCACTCTCCTATAGGCCAGTTTGCTCACCGACTCTCTGAGTGGTAGTAGGAAGGCCACGAGAGGCCGGAGCATTACCAGTTGGAGCCAGATGGCGAAGAGTTGGACGAGGCCCAGTCTGACGTATAGCACTTGGCATTCCTTGGAAGCCTGGTAAGAAGATAAAAAGCACTTACCACTGATAAGCAACAATAACCAAAAGCCAGGCTATGCCCTAGAAGGGACAAGTGCAAGAAAGGCAGGTAGACCAGGATAGGCATGATATATTCTAGGTGACCAAATCACTGTTTTCCACCACCTACCTTGAGGTCTCCCACCTTGTTGCCAGCGTGGATTAGGCCTCATCTGTGCTAACTGGTTAGGTGTGTAATATGGAGGTCTTCCTTGAGCCTGTAAGGAAAAAGAGCACCAAGCCTTTTTATATTATAGGCCTGAACCAACATTAGAAGAAGAAAACAAAAAAACCAAACCTCATCTCATTTTATCTCACCTTATGACTCAACCTTAGCCTACTATTTGGAATAAAGCCTACTCAAAGCCTGAAGGGTCACAGTTAGTGGGAGCAGTTTTACCCCACCTCTGCTACTGGATATATATGTGTATGACCATGGGTAAGTACTTATTTTATTTGAAGAGTCTTCATTGACTTCTGGAGTTCCAATATCCAAAATCCCTTCTCTCCAACTACTGCAAACGGTCATGATCACAGGGCAGACCCACCTGTGGAACTGCTGGCACAAAGTAGCCACCAGCTGCAGGCTGGAACTGATTTAAGATGGCATTGGCAGGGAGTGCTCTCATCCCAGCTACCCGCTGCATATACTGGTTGGTCAGGTGAGCCTTTCTCTCTTCNAGAGGCTGTATGGCAGGGTGAGGGCTGCGGACACTAGAGGCATACTTATATGGTGCTACAGCCCGAGGAGCAGCAGCAGCAACTGCAGCACGTGGTGCAAGGTTTGGCACAGCTGTGGGAACACCTGTGGAAAGGACAATTACAATTAAAGCCCATCAGTCTGGTCAAAGACCCGTCAAAATCCCATCGTTCCCCCTTCTGTGTGCATCCAATACCACCTCCAGACTGGCAGCTGTCAGTCAGCCCTTGCTGGGCGGCACCAGCCCCACCAAAGTCCATAGCCAAGCGGTCCGGGCACTCAGACCCTACAACAGACCAGCAAATGCACATCAGTGTTGGCAGCAGATGTCCAACTGGCCACGTCCCACGGAAGGAGAAATTCCAAAGCATGATCACACGACACATCACACATGGGGGCCACTACTGCTACTTTCAGGGTTGAGCCAAAGAATAACATACAATTCTGTCCACCTTTTGTAATGCAGGACTTACTCTGACAAAGTTTCATTGTCCCCCCACCCTACTCTACCAAAAAACAGAGGCTGTCTCTAGTCATCCAGCTAGCAAACTTCTAAAATTAATCTTCTCATGAGTACCAATCAGTAAAGAATGTTAAATGTAACCAGCAAACCTAGAACTCACATCAGTTCTGTTCCTGAATCAAGTACCTACCTAAGCACACAACTAAGATGACAGAACCAGGACTCAAAAAAACTTGAGCCCAACAAACTGACCAAGTGAAGGAAGAGCTAGCCATCCTGACTCCCTCCTCCCCAGGCCACTCTCCTATAGGCCAGTTTGCTCACCGACTCTCTGAGTGGTAGTAGGAAGGCCACGAGAGGCCGGAGCATTACCAGTTGGAGCCAGATGGCGAAGAGTTGGACGAGGCCCAGTCTGACGTATAGCACTTGGCATTCCTTGGAAGCCTGGTAAGAAGATAAAAAGCACTTACCACTGATAAGCAACAATAACCAAAAGCCAGGCTATGCCCTAGAAGGGACAAGTGCAAGAAAGGCAGGTAGACCAGGATAGGCATGATATATTCTAGGTGACCAAATCACTGTTTTCCACCACCTACCTTGAGGTCTCCCACCTTGTTGCCAGCGTGGATTAGGCCTCATCTGTGCTAACTGGTTAGGTGTGTAATATGGAGGTCTTCCTTGAGCCTGTAAGGAAAAAGAGCACCAAGCCTTTTTATATTATAGGCCTGAACCAACATTAGAAGAAGAAAACAAAAAAACCAAACCTCATCTCATTTTATCTCACCTTATGACTCAACCTTAGCCTACTATTTGGAATAAAGCCTACTCAAAGCCTGAAGGGTCACAGTTAGTGGGAGCAGTTTTACCCCACCTCTGCTACTGGATATATATGTGTATGACCATGGGTAAGTACTTATTTTATTTGAAGAGTCTTCATTGACTTCTGGAGTTCCAATATCCAAAATCCCTTCTCTCCAACTACTGCAAACGGTCATGATCACAGGGCAGACCCACCTGTGGAACTGCTGGCACAAAGTAGCCACCAGCTGCAGGCTGGAACTGATTTAAGATGGCATTGGCAGGGAGTGCTCTCATCCCAGCTACCCGCTGCATATACTGGTTGGTCAGGTGAGCCTTTCTCTCTTCCTTCCTCTGGGCCAAGGCAACATACAGTGGCTTGGAGCCCACAATGCGTCCATTCATTTCAGTGACTGCTTTGGTCGCCTCTTCAGGAGATGAAAAGCAGACGAACCCAAACCCTTTGCTTCTTCCATCCTCCAGCATTACCTATAAATGAGACCAGCTACTAAGAAAAAGGTTTATGTGTTGGGGATGAGGAGGGACAGCGTCAACAGGCTTGTTCTTCACAACAGTCAAAAATCCTGGACTGTGCTGCTAAGTTACCATCTAAGCCAGAGTTCAACCCTGGCCCAGGATGTACCTGAAACCAACATCACAACTTAGGCTTTTTTTTTTTTAAAACATCCCCAGGTAAGCTAAAGTTCCAACTAATGTGGCTAATGGTGAAACTGGGAACCTAAACATGTTTCCTAATTCTATGAGACATCTTGACAATAGTGCTGAACAATTTATTTGTAGAATTCATCCAGTCCAAAACCTTGGTGGACCCTGAACAGGCTTAGTTAGGAAAATGCTTTGAAATATCACATGTGGGCAATTATAAAACTCCCAGGTTACCAATGACTGCCACCTAATAGTGGCACTCAATGGGAATAACACAAAACTAGCTAGGAGTCGAACAGGGTTTCACTGAGTTGGTGAGGGCCTCGCTGAATTGCTGAGGCTAGCTTTGAACTCATGATCCTCCTGCCTTAGCCTCCCGAGCTGCTGGGATTACAGGCATGAGCCATGGCACCAACTTGTTAGTATCAGTATCAGAGTTCACAGCATGGAGAGCCTCCCAAAGTGGAAGGCATGAAAGTTAATGCATATATCAATCCAACAACTTTCTATCAATGAGGTGGGCAATAAGGTGTATATAAACAATGCCCTACCATGATCTTGAAAATGGGGCCCCAGAACTAAAGACAGAATGCTTTTGCTTTTTACAATTGTCAATCTGCCTACTGTAGAGATAAGCAAGTAAAGACTATTATGCCCTGCACTGATAGGGGACATTCAAGCGGGTGAGACAAACCCAGAGTTGACCTTTATCAGCCTGTCTCACCTGAAGGACTTTGGGATCATAACCTGATGTAGATACTGTCCTGCCTGATAATAGATGCAGCAGATGACACAAACTTTTAGATATCAGTCTCTTGTCACACTCCCAAGGTGCCAAGGACATGCAGCACACATCCCCAGGTGGCCAACATTCTCTTGCTCAGAGACTCAATTAATGAAGTTTTAAAATATCAAGCASATGATACACATTATAAAACATGAAAAACCAAACTTTTCACTCCCTTTCCTTCTAAGTAAAACCACAGGAAAGTTCCCAACTCCAGCTCCAGAATCTTCAAAATACCTTCATCCTCAAGGAGGAAATGTGGCAGAGTTGTAGAGACAGGTCCCAAGACAAATGGAAAACAACCCATCTGGATATCCTCTGCTCATAGTGTAGCACCATCTGTCCCCAGACCAGCACGAAGCAGCAGGAATGGGAAAGATTGGGTGCTTGAGGGCTAGAGAGAGTCATCACACTCCAGTGCTGGGAGACAGTGCAATATTAACCTAATGAAATGTCATTCTGCAGAGCATTATTCAGTTGGGTAACTGAAGGGGAAGAGGAGCTTGCTAGAATAATGTGATTGCTCTCTGAACTATCAACTATCAAGACTCTTCAATGAAACAAATGCCAACAAACCTGTAAGAGAATATTCCGCTCATCCCCTCAACTCCGTGCTAGGGTTTGAATCCAGGATCTCATGCATGTGCTGCAAAGGCTATGCCACTGAGCTACATCCCAGGAATACTCTGTATTCAGTCCCCAAATCTCACACCAAAATACCTTAGCACTGGTGATTGATCCAAAAGGAGAAAACTCTTTCCTTAATTTCTCATCATCAATGGTGTCATCCAAGTTCTTAATGTAGAGATTCACCCCCT